TCTTGCTTTTAAGAGCTATGAGGCAGAGTCCATTGCTCTTGCAGTCATTTGGTGAATCAATTTGATGACTTCAGCAGTACTGCAAATAATGTAAGTAACCGCCATGGCTTTTGCCAGCATAAGAAATCTGACTCTGCGGACTGGAGCTTAGATGACTACTTTCTTGAAAATGTATTTTGGTAACTCGTGTGTCTCACATGTCAGTATGTTCAGAACTTGTCTGTGGTAATGTTTTGTAATCTTTTACATTTTTCTTATTAAGACAGTGTTGGCTTTCTGTTGTCGCCGAATTAAGCTAATGGAGTCATGAGTTATTTCTCTTCTGAACTGAGAGCTGACTTCCTAGTGTAGAACTTTTGAAGAATATGCGCAAAATTGTTGACTTACATATAGGAGAAATGAAAATGCACTCTGTCCTCCTCTGTAGCAGAAATTAAATAAGGAATGGACAATTTCATGTCAAAATGAGATTTTTTTTCCTTGTGAAAAACTCCATACAGAAATTGCTATGTTTCAATTTTTTTTTTTCCATTTCTTCGTGAGATCTCATGTTGAGAGGTATCTTTGATATGCTTTGTCCCTTTCAGGATTATGATTGTTTGGTCACCTTGAGATAGAGGCTGTCTGCTTTTCTTCAAATCGAAACAATTTTTGAGGGTAACCATTGAATTTCTAGTTAAAGCTCTAGAATAATTCCTTGGTTGTGCATTGAGGGCTTTTTATGTCACTTTTGTGTTGTGGAATCTGTTGTCTCGTATATTCTTTTAACACATCTCTGTGAAAAAATAAAAGATTGTTGTGATAAACTACGGTGTTGTAATTAGCAATAGCAAGAACGATGCTCGAGTAATTAGTTTTAAAATTTATGTAATTTTGCAGAATGTCCTTTTGATCTGTAAATCATTGATCTAAAACAAAGGTTGTAGCAGCAGAACTGACTGCATAAAACATATTTGTGTGGCTCTTTCACAAAAGCTGCAGAAAGTACTCAAGTCATTCTGTATTTTTATTATTGTTTACTTTCAGCTGACAAATTAGTAAGTCCTAAAGACCTCGACCCTATCGGACGTTACATCCCTCCAGAGGATCAGCGGAATGTTAGCATGAGATTTTCAAATCAGGTAAGCATAAACCTAGTGTGAAAATATTTTTACTGAAAAATTGTCATCGACGTGTTATGTACAGTCTTCTAATATTACAGTTACTTTGCTAGGAGAATATCAAATGTATGTACATTTTCTTAGTAGGTGAAGGGTTGTTTTTAAAAAGAAGATTGTCACATCTGCAGTTTTGTGGAGTTGGCGCATGTTTGCCTGCCAGTTAAGTGGTAAAATAAAATCATAAAAATGATACAGAAAATGTAAGTTTAAATAGGAGCTAATAGATAGGTGTGTTTCTTTGAGTTATAAGATATGTCAGTAAGGCAAGAATGAGCCTGCTTTTTTTTTTTTTGCCTTTGAATTAATTACCACTCCAGTGTCTTAATATTTTTTGTATTTAGAGCTCCTAAGAGCTACAAGGATTGAGATTCTTTTGCAGTGTGCGTGGTATATACACATGCTCCTGCATTTGGCTTCAATGCACA